TTGGGGGAGAGGTGTCCTGGTGTGTCATCTGCTGGGACATCTCCCTGAAATCCCGGGCACATCCTAGGGCCCTGGTCTGCCACCATCAGCAGCCTTCCTGACTCACTTCCACAACAGCTGGGTTACAGGCCCTGGGTAAACTGGGCCCCGTGTAGAGGTCCAGGGGCAAAGATGTGAGTGTATAATTTTTTATCATATATGAGTGGAACTTGAGGTTTTGTTGTTAGAAATGGATGAGTAGGAACTCAAAGGAAAAGGACAAATTAATTAGGCTTTTAAATGATCTTCTCCCATGGCATGACCCAGAGAGAGACAAAGGACCTGGTCTTTGTCTAAAGGTAACAGTTTGAGTCAGCACAGACTGAGCTTGGCCATGAGAGAGGGTCTGATTCCACCCTGAGAACGTTGCCACTGAGCGCAGAGGTGATGGCAAGGCGGTGTGCATCGGTCACATAAAGGAAGGAGGACTCTTTTGAGATGCAAGGTCCATCCTGACTTCAACTCTTCTCTAGAACAAAGATACTCTGCCTGCTCTAGGCAGTACTGGCAACATTTCTTATGTGTAAATGAAGTCTCAATATTTTTCTTTTAATTACTGGAAAAAATACCAATGAAAATGAAATTCCACTGATTACTTTGGCTTTCAGATTCACTAAGCGGACATGGTAGGCTAATTGGGGCTGCAGAGCACTGCCCAGCAACAGTGCTGGAGCCAGTTCCCAGCAAGCAGCTGCCATCACATCATTTTCTAATCCCCATTGTTAAACCCCAATTGGAAATTTCACAAATGGGAACGAGTTCCCTTGCCAACCTCCAAAACTCCCCACCATTACAGGCCCAAAGGCAATTAGAGGTTCACACAGCGGGCTTATGATATGTATACAAGTGGACTTTGGCAGCTTTAGAAACATACGGAGAGGAGGGCTGCACTGTAGACCATCAATTTCACAGCACCGTGTTCAACTGAAAGGCCTTCTGATCTGTCCTTCCAAGACAAAAACATGGCTCCAGGGAGGATGTAAATATTCAGGAGACTCCAAGCTCCTGACAAGGCAGCATGGCATCCTATGGTCTGGTGTCAACTCCTTTTCTCAGCCTCCTCCCCACTCTTTCCACTGGTCCAAGCACGTTCCAGTGACGGGGCACCCTGAGCATGCCTATGCCATACGCTGTTGCCTTCCTTATCTTCCTAGTGAACTCTTACTCATCCCAGAAAGCCCAATTTAAAAGATTTGTAAAGGATTTTCTCCTATGCTGAAAATTCACCAGTGGGTTGTCTCTCAGGGAAGATACCGAAATCTTCTCTGGATTATCAGGTTCCCACCTACACCACCAGGCCCATCTTCTAGTACTTGTCTTCCGACTGACTGTTCTCCAGCCTCCATGACTTTCTATAGAAGGACTTGGGAGGGTAGGGTCTGTGTGTGAGGGTTAGTCCTGGCGGAGGGAGGAAAGTCAGTGCATGCAGGGAGCCCTGGGGAAGCTGGAATCGCAGAGGTCAGAGTGTTCTAAGGTCTTGTAGACAATCTGCCATTTTGGGTTGAGGTGTAAGGAACAGAGAAGGAGGTGGAGGAGCAGACCAGCAAGTGTTTTCAAATTAATACATTCATTCAACTGAAACATGCCAAGCACACTCCATGTGCCCTTTATCTGATCCTTATAAGAACCCCGTGATGTAGGTATTACTCTAGATAAGAAAATAGATAAGAAAGTTGGAGCTCAGAGAAGTTAAGGATTCTGCTAGGTCCACACAGCTGGGAAGTGACAGGGCTGGGATTTGACTCAAACTCAAATTTTTTATGACTCCAAAGCCTAAGCTCTTTTCTCTTGTTCTGTAGTGGGCCAATGAAAGGAGTATGTAGCGAGAGGTTAACAAAGGGAATGCAGAGTTTGTGTTGTATTTTGATTCCAGACTTGTCAGGTATCGCAGAAGGTAAAGGGTTTATCATGTTTGTTTCAATACACATCAGCTCCTGCCTTTTCCCAAACACATAATCACATCGACAAGATGACCAACTGGCAATAGGGGCAGTGAGACACAGTGGAAGGAGAACAGGCTTTGAAGAGCTGGGGTTGGGCAGATCTGACTGGGAGACCTTGGGTGAGCTACCTCGCCTCTCAGAGTCTCTGTTTCTTTCCTACTAGTTGGGACCACTAGTGCTTTTTTACCCCATGGATGTAAAGGGCCTCCTTGCAGCACTGGCTCTTAAAGTTCCCTCCAGGAAATGATACGAAGAACTTCCACTCACATTTAATTGGCTGAAGCAAATTCATGTGACCACACTCTACTCCAATAAAGAGGGGTCCTAGCATCTGTCTTGGAAGAGGACAGAAACACTCGAACTCCCCAGTAGCCATTCTTTCTCCCACATTCTTTTAAAATAAATACATGCTTTAGTTTAAAAAGCATTTTTGTGGAATATCTTTTTAATACATTGTAATCATATATAATATTAGAGCTTCTATTTATAAAGTGACAATGCCATCTTCAGTTATGGCTTAGGAGGATATTGGAGAAGGAGACCCCCCCCCAAAGAGAACGGAGTCAAGGGCCACAAAGAGCCCCCCACCCCACCCGAGGGTAGGGGGCCTTATAGCATCTGCCCAGAGGGATTTCAGGGTTGCTGTGGACCAAAGATTGTTGTGTTTCTCTAATTCTTCCTTTTACCTAGCAGAAATACTTTTTGCTTATTCTGCCTCATTCCACTGTGTGTATTTGTGTGTGTGTGTGTGTGCGTGCACATATGTATGGAGAGGATGATGGTTGTGGTGGTAGCAAATACTTCTACCTGTTAGGGTACAGGTTTCCAGATCAAGTGGAGCCACATCTGGGCCTGACAGAGAGCCTCCTGCACATCTCAGCCTGATGAAGAGAGCCTCAGGAATCATTCAGGGAACTGGTACACTGGGTTTGGAGCCAGTAACAGGTAGGACTTTTGGGTTGCCTCATTTACAGAAGTGTGGTTGCATTTTTGATGTGGAAAGGACAGTCAAGCAAATATTGTTGAGTAAGTGGACAGACCATGGTGTTCATCAATGTTGTTCACACAGTCGTTTTCAGTTTTTTTCCCAGACGCATGATAGATTTCACTTCCTGGTTTTATTGGAGTTAGGTGTGCCCATATGACTTGCTTTGGCCAATAAAATGTGAGTAGAGATGATTGGTGTCACTTGTAGGTGGAAGCTTTAAGGGCTCGGGCACCATCCATCACATTTTTGTTTCCTTCTTTCTCAGTATCCAGCAATGTGGCTGCTCTGTCTTCTTGGGAAGAGCAGAGAGGAGCCCCCATTTTTTTGCACTGAATATGAAGTGAGAATTCTTTGAAGTAACTGAGATATGGGGCTTGATTGTCACTGCAGCACAAACTAGCCTATTCTAACTATTCAAATAGATCAATTTGGTTCTTCTAAAATCACTTTTTATTTTGGTGGGACTGTTCTACCCAGTTGGCATGTAACTGGGAAACAGTGGTTCCAGCTGGCCTTCTAGAGTTGGGAGCAGTTTTCCATTGCAGGCTGGGGAGACAGGGATCTAGAGGTGATCTCTGAGAGTCTCTAGGAAAGAGTCATGGTAATGTTCATGGTGAGATCAGGACTAGGGACTCCTTATCTCACAGGCAGTATTCAAGCTATATTTCAAGTATCTACAGGCTGGCGGTGGTGTCCAGCTGGGGCACTGAGCCACACGAGAGGGCCATCACTCTTGCACAGCTGTGTTCGGTGATTAATGATTCCTGTGCAACCTTGGAGTCCGTGCCTTGCTACACTAATTAGTTTCATAGACTCTCGCCAGATGACACGGTCTTCCTTTCCTGATATCTATCCTGAAGAATTCTGCAATCCTGAGGAAGCTCTCATCAAGTTCTACTGAAATGTTTGATAAACTTTTTACTATTGTGTGACTTACGTCAGACTTCATGTAGGTGATTTCTGCTCAAAAATACACTCTCTTCTGTTGCCCCACACCTGCTTTACTTTCTTCCTGGGTTCTGCGTCCCCAGTGCTCCCACGGCTGCACTATAGGCACTCCTTTCCATCTTCTCTTGCATGGAGCTGCCCAGAACACTTTCTTTATCCCAACCCAGAGGGGTCCGTGTCTCCCCTAGTTTACCCTTCAGTCCGCTGGTCCTTTGCAGGCATATTCTTCTAGCCTACCTCTCCCCTCAGCCCCCTATGGTGAATGGTCAAGGTCACAGATCTTACTAACTTCCAAGGAATCCATCAACACGAGGTTGGGTCATCTCAAAGTGTGAATCTGCTTATTCGGGGAGCATTTTACTTCCCCTCTGCTCTCTCCTTGGTACTTCAAAGCACCCCAGCCATTAGGGGAGCAAAAACAAAGATGCGAACAGATCTGAGTGGGGGAACAGAAAGATTATATGCATACTCAGAGAGCTTGCTTTCCCTGTTTCCAAAGAGGTCATTAGTCTGGGTCTGGGGACTGGAGGAGAAGCAGCAGCAGAGGAAATGAGATGGGAGCAGAAGCCTTTGAGTGAAAAGGCAATGAGGAGCCTCTGTCCCTGAGGAGCAGGGAAGGGGCTCAGAGCTGAGCCAAATTTGAGAGTGGCCTCCTGTGGCCTGGAGCCTATGGACAATCCACCCTCCATAGCCCACATTTTTGTGAGCTCCCGGAACAGAGGGTTGCGGTTCTGAACAATTTGTTGGGGATAAAAGGAGATCCTTGGCTCCTGACCGGTGTGAGCAATCAGCTACATAAGTTAAATAAGGTCCCAGAACAATAAAAGGCATTAGCAACTCAGAGATAAACGTGAAATTGCTCATGTTGATCTAAAATAAAAATCTGGTCTCCAGCCAAGTGCGTAACTATTATGCAAGCTTAGTGCCTGGATTAGTCCTTGTTTTCATGTCTTGTTTTATTACTAAGGGCTAGCAAATTTTCTTGGCTGATCCTGTACGAATTGCTTTGCCCTTTTCTCTGTCAGTCCCTTTCATGGACTGTTCACAGGTGGGCCAGGGAGAAGGGCTCGACTTAGGGTTACCTTGCCAACAAGCGCCGACCGTCAGTTGCATGGCTATGTGAGATGGATGAATGGGCCAATCGTTAGTCACCAGGTATGGTTCATATGTTGCTCCATCCATGTATAAGGTAACCACAGGAAACTCCACATTGATGACATAGTAATGCCATTCTTTGTCACAAATCTAGTGAAAAGAAAGAGAAGCAATACTTAAAATTGAATAGGCAATGAAATACCAAACAGACTTTTCTAATTATGAAAGGGAGGAGACATTTGGGGGTCAAAAATTTTTATCGCAAAGAACTCAATGAACATAATGGTTGATGGGCACTGAGGTTATAGCAGCTCACATGAAACATGATGGGGCAAACCAGCAGGTAGAGGAACACCTGAGAATCTGATCATTAGGCAAATATTTGACTAAGGACAGATTATCTTGGTCCCATAATTACCAGCTGTCTAGGCTGGCAAGTGCTTGGTGGACAGGTGGGAACGTCAGCTTAAATTTGCTCTGTAGGAAAATTTTCTTAGTTCTTTAATAGAGAAACAGTTAAATTGAAATGGTTTCTCTAAGTTTGGGGAGAGATGGAGCTATGAAAAGAAAGATGCTAGTTTGAAAGGAGAAATGATAAAGATAAAGAAGAGGAGGAGGAAAGGAAAGAGAAAGAAGCAAAAGGGAAAGATGAAAAAAAGTTGGAGTGAGAAGGGAGTAAGAGGGAAAGCATGAAGATGGGAAGGGGAAGAAGGATGAGGTTCAGAGGAGTAGGAACCCCCAGTTCTTTTGTCTCTATATTAAGCTTGTCCCAGGACCTGCTGTGGTCTCAAGCTCCCTTCAACTCAAGCCAAATCAATTCTGAGAGACACAGTCATCCCAAGAGGACTCATCTTCATCCCTCCTTGGAGTCCCTGGGGAGGCAGACGAGGACCACAAATGGGTCCTCCTGGCTGGACTCAGTGAAGAGCACTCTTACACTCGTGTTCCCTCACAACTTTGCACCTAAGATTACTAGTCTTGGACCTGGGAACTAAAATCTAACCTTAATGGATGGAGACATTGGGGCCAGGATAAAGTCACAATTTCTGACCTCAAGATACTGAACTCCCATGGCATTATCCAAAATAGAAGCCAATATGGTACATCTTGGGAGAGGAAATGGGAAACATAAAAGGTGGCAAGGCTGGAGAACAGCTCCCCCTCTCTCCGATCCCCTAAGCAAGTGTCTTGGATGTCACGTGAGACACTCTCTCCTCCAGACTCCCCCTCCCTCAAATCCCACTGCACCCTGCGGCATCCACCTCAGACACGTCTCTCATCTGTGTCCTCTGGTCTCCACTGCCCCCACCCTGTGTGGCAGCGGAGACAGATGAGTTCTGCATGCAGGTGACCCCAGGGTGAGGATATCAGAGCCCTCCCAACAGCCCACTCAGGATTCAATGTGCTGAATAGGTAACACCAACGGGATGCTAAATGAGCTTTTCCCTTTCATTTTGGAGTAAGATTTTTTCCCCTTAATGTTCTTTTTATATTGTCCCGTCTCATGTCTCAGAAAATTGCTCCTTTTGAAGCCCATTAACCTGATAAAGCCTGATGAATATTTTTGGGGCCCTTGGAAGGTAAGCAGGAGGGGTCAAGGCAAATGTCTCCAGAATCCAGTTACACTCCTCTGAGTGGACAGCTCAGTGCCTGTTACATCTCACTAGAGGTCCTAACCTGACTTACACCCCCTCTTGCTCGATGCCTGAGACTGGATGCTGGGCTGGGTGCTGGCTCTTGGGATGGGTCTGTGATCCAGGTGAGGCTGGCCAGGGGTGTAGGTGTGGAATAAAGGAAGAGCTGGAGACAGAGTCCAGGGGTCACTAAGGAGAAGAGTGGGGAACTGAGGAGAGTTTTGAATGGGGAAGCATCCAATCTAAGGAGCCCCAGTGCACCCTGGACTTGGGGTTTCTAATCAGGGATGGCCAGTCAGAACAATCCGGGGATATTCTCTGAGACATCAGGAAACCTCTGGCCGGTCCCAGGATGGAGAGGGAGCGGGTGACAGTGCCATGACCCTGTTCACACCCTAGGTCTTTTGAAACATAGACAGAGCATGAGAGTCAACTAAGCAGCACCAGGGGCTCCCCCGTCCAGACCGCCATCCCCACCCTTCCAGGGGCCATCCTCTCTGGCCTGACTGCCAGGCTGAATCCATGTGCTGGCTGACTCTCCAGCCCTCCACGTCTGCCAAAGCCGGATGGTCCTCTGTTTTTGCTTTCTTTCACAACACTTACAGCATTTTTGGACAATACAAAACAGTTCCAAGGAAGAAGAAAAATCAGTCCATAACTCAGCAGAAGCAGCAACCCCTGTCAATGTTACAGTCTTTCCGGGAGCATCCTCCCCCCCAGCCCCCAGCTTTCCTGAGGCCTGCTCCACAAACAGCAGCCCCTGTGATGTGCTGCACAAAAACAGTGACACTGAACACTAAGCCTTGGTTTCTGTTCCTGTTTTTCAATTTCCCATTTCATCCCAAGCATATCCAAGGCTTCAGGCAGCCTCAAAGTATATGCCTATAAGAACTTTTCAACATTTTTGGAAAATGGAATTTTTCTATTTACAGCATCGCTAATAAACATCCTGTGAAACTACAGTTGGGAAAGGTCTATTTGGATTACACTGTACATACGACTTAAAAGTCTGCTTGTTTCACTTAACATCAGCATTCAAATGCCTTTACCAACTTCATTGTAGATGGCTGTACAATATGGATACACTATACTATACTGTATATTATAATTAATTATTACCAGGCACTAATTGTGCACCAGCAATTATAACTGACACTGTGATGAATTTCTTTTTGCATAAATATTTATCTGCATTTCTGATTGTATCCTAGGAAGAGATTCCTAGAGTGGAATTATCGGGTCAAAGGCTGGAGGTATTTTGAAAGCTCCTGACACATTTTGTCAAATTTTTTCCTGCAATAGTTTGTTCTTATTTATACCCCTGCCTGCAGAGCGGGAGAGTGCTTGCGCACTATACCCCTACTACATTGAGTATTAAAAAAAAAAAGAAAAGAAAAGAAAAGAAAAAGGAAATCCTGGCAATTTGAAAGGGGAATACATTTTGCCTATTTTAATCTGGGTCACAAAAGATGGTAAGGTGTACATTTTCCGAGGTCAGAAGGCAGGGCCTTCTGGGAGCGGGGAGCAGCCTGGGCTGACTCAGAGGTGGAAAAGATGGGGAGCTTCCCCAGAGAGCTTTAACAGGGCATCCAAACCGGCTTTCAGCCGAGACTAGGCTTAAGCCTGCAGATTTCTCACACCCAGAAATCTATGAAGCAGCTGAAGGAAATGCCTAATTAGGGTTTCATAAATGCGGATCTATGGCCAGGAAGAGCCCCACAGTAGCCCTTGGCTACAACTGCGGGGACAAACTGTAATTGAGAAATGATCAAGCCAGGAGGCAGCAAAAATAAATGTGTCAAGGCAATGGCTCCCCAATAAAGGAAGGAAATTAGGCAAAGTGACCTTTCCTGGGGAGAAAGAGGAACTTTAATTCCTGGCCGTTGGTGAATCACTGGGGCGCCCAGCTGGCATCAGGCCTGTCCAATGCTACCCCAGAGACGATGCCCAAGGCCTCAGCTGGACTGAAGATGCTTTGCCCTCTGGAAACCTGCAGGTGTGTTCCCAACGGGGCTGCCACAGCTGCCATTTGGTTGGCGAGTGAATCAGAGACAGAGGCCTAGGGACCAATGTTGAAGGAGAGTTGGGAGCAGGGACAATGCCAAGGAGGTCTGAGTTGGGAGCAGGCTGGGGAAGGAGTCAGGAGCTAGGGAAGCCTCCCACGAGGGTACAGGAGAAGATCAGGCTGCCCACGAATTGGTCCATATGTCCTGTAGAGGGCCACCCTGGATGTTCTGAGCTGGTGTTCCCAGGACATTTTTGAATGCAGTTATGCAGTGTGACATACATTTACCTAAGAACCAACGTGCTAGGGAGCATGCTGGGAGCTGCACAGGATGAAGAACTTATCAGATATGTGCTTTGCCTTCAAGATTTTCAATCCAAAGTGTGGTTGGGGGAGGGGTTAGGTATCAATGTAGAAGACTTGAATGCACTGGGAACTGAGGTAAGTCTTACAGACCAGGCGCAAAGCACTGTGAGATCCCAGGGAGTGGGGAGCTGACTTCGGATGGGAGAAGGGGGTTTTTTGAGTGGGTAGAACTGTTAAGAGTTCATTAGGAATGGGTAGCAAGGAAAACATTTCAGGCAAGTGGAGTTGAAACCTTTTATTCTTTCATTCATCTGTCCTTTTCACGGCCAAGGAAGGTCCTAGGTTTGGGGCAAACGGAGAGTCCCTCATTCACTCACTCCTACAGACATGTACCAAACGCACACCCTGTTTTGTGAACGAAAGAAAGCATCTGCCCTCGTGGAGCTTCCAGTCCAGACACAGAATCAACAGAAAGGCTCATAGCAGGTTGTGACTCACGCCCACAGACCTGTGCCAGGCACCAGGTGATGCGGTGGAGGAGGGCAGAGTGTCTGATTGCACTGGGAGGAGGGAAGGAAAAAAGACACCGCACTGGGAGGGGCCGTGGTGGTTTGGGGAAGGTAAGGAGAGGGAGATGAGGCTGTGAGGATAGTTTGGAATGGAGGTCCGGAGGCCTGAGGGCTTGGATAGCCTTTCTTCTGTGGGCAGCATGAGGTATGGGCATTTGGGGGCTGGAGGAGGGTGGTAGCCATAGCAACCACCCGTCATGAAAAATGCTTCTCAATTTTAAAGCAGCTTTTCCTATTCCTTATACTGTTTAATCCGCACTGCAACCCTATAAAGCAGGAGGGCCAGTTCTGTCTTAGGCACCTCTAGAAAAGGGAAAGAGATACTGTGGTTGCTAATCTCAAGGAGTTTATACTGGGAGTTAGGTGTACCACCCCCTACTCCCCACGGTGAGCTTCCACGCTCGGCCTCTTGTCTTTCCATCCCACACACAACCAGTGGCTCAGATTCACACGCTCACTGCCAAATCAGGATCCTGAGCAGACACGGGTCTCCTGAGTGATGGCTTCACAGGTCGGATGGCCCCTGAATGGCCCACTAAGTGTTCTACAGACGCTTCAAACTCATCACGTCCAGGATTGAGCTCTATGCCCCCCAACTCCTGCCTCACTTGTTCCCTTGCCTGTGTTTCCTGCCTT